AGGCCCACGGAGTGGGCTGCAGGCTCCTCCTCCCCAGGGCAGGACTCCTCACCTGGGGTGGGGTGCCCTGGCCCACACAGATCACAGCTTGAATTGGTGAAAGTTTTGGTCCCACCACTTCACATTTATGTGGCTGGGGGTGTAGTGTGCTTGGCGGCTGTGACTGGGGGATCTTTATCCAGTGACACAAGCCTCAGGGCTGTGGGGAAGAGGCAGCCAGGCTCTTTACACGCAGTAGGTCAGAGGTGAATTGCTGTGAGATGCTATTAATCTCCTTTGGGTCAATTTGAGCCGATCCGCAAATTGGTGTTAAATGCTGATATTGAACTGGCTTGAAATTAGCATATTTAATTATTGAAATCAACACATAAGGTTAATTGCCCAAACGCTAACGAACACGGAGTTTAATCAGGAAGACAGCCGCAGGAACGGGCGGCTGGGCTTTGTTACAGCTCCGTGTGACTTCCCCGGGCAGCCCCCTGGACTGCTGGGTCCCGCAACACTCCCACTGACCCCTATCCCCCGCCTGGCTGCCCCACCGAAACGCCCCCCCTCTCCTGTCCCTCCTTCAGGCCTGGCTCCCGCTCCGCTCCGCCCCTGTGGACTCTTGGCCCACCTTCTCCCACCACCGTGCCAAAGTCCCACTTCTCAGGCTCAGCCCATGCGGCGCACCACGTGAAAACAGCCCGCGCCGAGTCCCGCCTGCCGCTAAAGACGCAAACCCATTGGCTATCAGTTTATGCATATGCAAACAAAACAACCCAACGCAGTGGGGAGGGGAGGAAACAGGTGTCAGGGGACGTGACCGGAAGCGGCAGGGCGGGGCCGGCGGGGGGTGGGGCCTATGTCGTGAGTGGGCGGAGTGGCCATCAGGGGACAGCAGGGAGTTGCCAGGTGAGAGCCGGAGGCGGGACCGAGACGGAGGGGGCGGGGCATGGACTTGGTGCGGCAGGGAAGGGGCGGGACAGGGGACCGGGTCCGGGGAACAGAACTGGGGAGGAGCCGAGGGCAGGGCTCGGGGGCGGAGTCTGGGGGGGCGTGACCGGAGGCGGGGCGAGAAGACGTAGTGGAGGCGGGGGTGGGATCTGAGGCCCCAGGTTGGATCTGGGAGATACGCGCTGACCGCAGCGAGGTAGGCGCGGCATCAGCGGCGGTTCGGGAGCGGGCCCTGGAGTGTGGCGACCTCAGCGGGCAGGAGCCATCCCGTAGCTAGGGCAGGAGGCAGCCGGCATGAGCGCACTGGACCTGGCCCGGGTGGGCGCGTGCGTGCTGAAGCACGCGGTGACGGGAGAGGTGAGGAGGGACGAGGGGACGCTGCGGGCCTGGGCTCTCCGACCGTGGGGGGGCAGGTCGCGGGGAGCCGCACTGGCCGCCCTGGGCCCCGGCGCGCGGAGCGCGGGCTGCGCTGGGCAGGCGCGGGGTCCATGTTTCAATGGCCACCGCCCTAGGCCGTGGAGCTGCGGAGCCTGTGGCAGGAGCAGCCGTGCGTGGTGGCCGGGCTGCGGCGTTTCGGCTGCATGGTGTGCCGCTGGATCGCCCGGGACCTCAGTAGCCTCAAGGGGCTCCTGGACCAGCATGGCGTGCGCCTGGTGGGCGTGGGGCCCGAGACCCTGGGCCTGCAGGAGTTCCTGGATGGTGGCTACTTCTCAGGAGGTGGGCACCCTCATTCCCCTCCACGCCTCAAGCCTCTCCCAGCTCCCCTGCGGTTCTCCTTCCAGGGAGAGGGCCCTGGACGCAGGATTCAGTCCCTGGGCCTGGGTCTCTCCATCTGTAGCCTCAAGGCCCTGCAGCACCATCAAGACCAGACCCAAACTCAAGGGTTAGCTCCCCCTCAGCCCAGCGGTGGTGGTCCGGACCTGCTCATAAGGGAGCCTCTCTATGCGTAGATCTGTAGCCGCCACCCCTAATCTCCCAATCCTGATTGGGGAACGATTTCTCACAGAGGACAGGCAATGGCCAAGCCCAAAGCAACCCTGGCTTAGAGCCAAAGTAGCACACCTTAGATAAGAGGGTCCCCTGGAGGTGGCCACAGAGGGCATGTGGCCTCTTCTCAGGGGGAGGACGGAGAGCTGGACCACCTCAGGGTCCTTTACCCAATGTAGATGAGTCCCCAGGCCCATGACCCCCACCCCATGTGTTGGCCCCCACCCCATATGTTGGCCCCCACATCCTCCTCTCCCCACGGAGGCGCCTGCCCAGTGGCAATATCGGGGTGAGCCCTTCCCCTCCGTTTCCACCTGTCACCTCTGAACAGAGGAACCCTTAGCGCTGTCCCGCCCTCCTAACCCTTGTCTGTGGCCCAGGTGAGCACCTTGGGGACAGGGCAGTGGAGGAAGGTGAGTGAGGGTGGTGGGTGTGGCCAGGGCAGGCCCGGGGCCACACCTGGGACCTCTGCTTTACAGAACTCTACCTGGATGAGAGCAAGCAGTTCTACAAGGAGCTGGGCTTTAAGCGGTGGGTGTGCTGTGCGTGCCTCAGGGTGGGGCACTCCTTGGGCAGGTGGAGGGGGCTCATTTCTCTTCTCCCGGAGCCCCTCTTCTTGGCTGTCCACTCAGGCCTCCCTGGGTCAGCTGGCTCTGGCGGCACTGTCTGCTCTGAGTAGCCCTTCTAGTTCTTTTGGGGATGGGGTGCCTGTTTTTGTAGGGCTGTAGAGGCTGATGACCTCAACCCTCCAGGCCGTAGGGCCCGGGGCTCATGGATCTGTGTCCCCGGGCATGGCCACTTTACCTCCATGCCTGCAGCGACTGTGGCAGACTTGGATGGCAGCAGCTGCTGAGCCAGATGCCAGCCCACATGGCCCTGGCCCAGCCCCTTCTGCACCTCTGCACCCTGGAGTCCAGGGCTTGGATGGCCACTCCAGGCCGGGCAGGAGGCCCTTTGCAGGGCTGTCTGGTCGCTGCTCTGGGGCTCAAACCTCTCTGTGCCCCTGGGGAGGAGGATGGAGGGGGCTGGGCTGGGTGGTGGGACCTGCCTCACAACCTGCGGGGTGGGGCCTCCCTGGGGAAGAGCCTGGAAGAGCTGTCTCCACAGTTACAACAACCTGAGCATCCTGCCTGCTGCCGTGGGGAAGCCGGTGCGGGATGTGGCCGCCAAGGTTGGTGACAGCCTGGGTCGTGAGGGATGTGGGGTGGTGTAACATGGCTGCCCCTGCCCACTCCTCTCCCGTCCCCTCCCCTCAAGAACTGCTAGACTCCCTCCCTCCCTCCCACTCAGGCCAAGGCTGCCAACATCCATGGAAACCTGTCTGGGGACCTGCTACAAAGCGGAGGGCTGCTGGTGGTCAGCAAAGGTGGGTGGGAGAAGGGGAGGGGACAAGGCCTGGCCGTGGGATGTGCAGAGCTGCCCATGTAGGTGGGACTCTCCACCCAAATGTGGGGACTAGACCCTGGCCCTCCCTCCGTAGTGACTGAGATTAGTGGGGGCGGTACCAGAACTCCTCAGGGGGCTCAGTCATGCCGTGGGGTGCTGAGGGGCTGGGTGTTGGGGTAGAAAGTTGCACCCACAAGCTGAGGTGGTGTCCCAGGAGCATCTGTCCCCAAGCAGGCTGGCCCTCCTGCGCCGGCTTCTCCCACCTCGCCCACCCTGCCTCCCTGCTGCTCCCAGGTGGTGAGAAGGTGCTGCTGCACTTTGTCCAGAAGTCCCCAGGGGACTATGTTCCTCAGGAGCGTGTCCTTGGTGCCCTAGGCATCTCTGCGGAGGGCCTTGCCAGCGAGCCACCACAGGTGAGCTGGGTCTGGGGAGTGGTGCCGTAGATGATGTCACTATTACTCTACCTGTCCCCTCCACCCAAAGAGGGGGAGGCAGGTAAGAGGATTAAGGAGATAAGAAGGGGGAGGGGATGACTCAAAGGCCCCTCCCCCGAAGGTGGGAACTGCAGAAGGAGTGCTGAGATGGCCTCAGGTTGGGTCTCATGTGGAGGGGTGACCTTGCTTTTAGCAGGCTTTCCTCCTGACCCCAGACAGGGGAGAGGGCGGGGGTGGGGACGGGGTGGGGCTGCAAGTACCCCTGACATGTGGTTGGTCTGACCAGTGTCTGATGTTCCTACAGTGTGATGAGGAGGCGTGTGGGAGGTGAAGGGCTCCAAGGACCTGGAAATACTGCGCATTGGACGTGAAAGATTGTTCTAGAATCGCTGAGCTGGAACGGTGGACTTTGCCATAGCAACACAGGCAACGTGGGCCATTAAAACTTTGGTTTCTGATCAGAGTGCTTATTCATTGGCCCCAAGCCTGAGTCCCTGTGTCCATCCCTGCCCCCCCTTCCTGCTTGGTGGTTTCCTCAGGGTGGGTTGCAGACATCATGGGCCTAAGGGGTCACCCGCCTGCTGAGGAAGTTCCTGCCCCCTGGAGGGATGTGCCCATATTGACTGGAGACAGAGGGCCAAGGGCACATGGAGCCTGCGGGGACTGTGGCCTCACTGCCCTGTCATTTCCTTCCCGGGTGCCCACATCCCAAGTGTGCCTCATGACTCCAGGCTGCCGGGGGGAGGCCCAGGGCTATGAGGCCTGGAGAGAGGACAGAACTTAAGAACCCTCCCTAGACCCCCGGCTATAGCCTTGAGGGGTCAGTGATCTGGTGTGGTGGGAGCTGTGCCCGTGGTTTGGGGGGAGCAGAGACTTTGGGGAAAGGGCTGGTCAGTGGACGATCTCCTTAGATGTAAGAAGCATGGGAAGTCTCTGGGGCTGGGGATGACCTGGTCTCACCGGGTACATCAATGTCCCTGACACCTCCCTTTTGGGTTCCGACAGGCATCTCAGACCTACTTGGCCCCAGCAGATCCTCTGGCCCATCAGCCCCCCGCTTCCAGACCCCCCAGCATCCCTTCACTGCACTTGTCTGGAGGTGGGGTCTGGGGTGCGATGATTGCAGCTCCCTCCTCACTGGCTCCTTGAGTCCACCCCACCCCTCTGGCCATGTACATGTTCACAAGCATGTGGGGCAATTGCAAAGACCATGGTTTGGGACAGGCGCAGCTTAGTCCTTAGCCCATGTGGACTCAAGCACAGGGACAACTGTGAAGCCCGTGCCGGGCGGGACAGTGTTTGGTTCTGTTGAGCCTAGGGTCACCATGGGTCGGAACCTGCTCGCTGGCACGGAACCACCTGGCCATTTACAAACCACAGCAGGCCAGGTGACCCCATTCTGTGGTTTAAGCCCCCGTGAGCACCCAGTTACACAAAGCCAGACTGACCATGGCCCTGGGACCTGAGGACCCTGGCCCCTCTCCAGCCCCTCCCCTGCAATCTCCCCATCTGGACACAGGGTCCTTGAGAATCTTGGGTACTCATTGCATTCCCGCAGGGGGCAGGGGACACTTTTGAGCTATGCCAGCAACCACTTCCTTTACCCAGCTCCCCCATGGTGTACCCGGAACACCCTGAGCATCCATCCAGCCTCTCCTAGTGCATGGGGCTTTGCAGGGACCTCTTAGAAAAAAGGGCAGGCACACGGGGCTTCTTTGAAGCATTTACTCAGCTCGTGTTGGAAGCTCTGGAAACCACGCTCTGGACAAAGCGGCGCAGGAGGCTCAGTCTGTGCAGGCGCTCAACCGTGTGGCCTGCGGTGCTGGGGCGGGGGGATCCCCTGGCCTCGGTCACCAGCCTCCCTGGCCCTGGCGTCAGTGGCGCTGTGCTTAGGCCCTGTGCCCGGAGGGCAGGGCTGCGGGCCAGGCCGGGGCGCTCTGTTCCTGCCAGGTCCTCGCTGGCCCTCACTTCTTGCTCCTCCGACCTCTTGGCAGCGGGTGGGCGTGCGCGGCTTGGCCTGGGCTACCAGATGCGGCAGCGCTGCTTTGGGTGCATCGGGGTGCCCTGCTCGCAGTGGAAGGCCTCCGCAAAAGCGGCCAGATTCTGCAGCGAGCCCAGCACCCTGTGGGAGGTGAGGCCTCCTGAGACCTGCAGCGCTGGGCTGGGGGCCCTGGGGTGGGTCGGGCTGAGGTGGGGACCCTTACCTGTACTTCAGGGGACTGTGGACGTCCGTTTTGATGGACTGGACGGCGAACTCGGGCCGATAGGCCCCGCACCACACCTGTGGGCGCAGGAGGGGCGTGGCTGCAGGGCGAAGGGCATGGCCCAGGAGAGGGGGGGCGTTGGGAACACCTAGAGAAACTCAGTGTCGCCCTCTCCCTCCATCCCGACTCACAGGGACACTATGTATCAGGGTAGAACTGCCCATGTGGGTTTCTGAGACTGGCTCTAAGGAGTATAGAAAACCTCATCTTTCTCCAACGGACTGGCTGGTGGTTTTGAACTGCTGGCTTTGTGCATGGCAACCCAAAGCAAAACCCACTATACTACCAGTTCCTCCTCATCTACAGCGGACTCCTCCCCTGCGCCCCCACCGGTCCATACCTGCCCCTCCCCCCCTGGAGAAGCACTCCAGGTTTCTCCACTTGTCTGGTCAAGCCCTGCCTGTCAATTGGCAGCCCCCAGTGGTGCCCCATCTTGGGTCCTCCCCACCACAAAGCTGTGGCAGCAATTCCCCCCACCCTGCCTGGAAGCTGCTGGTGGAACTGAGCACCTACAGGGCAGGAGAGCAGGCGGGGTGCCTACCTGGGCGTAGTTGATGAAAAACAGCTGCTTGTTTGTCATATCCAAACCTGGTAGCTGGAGGTCGCTGCCTCCCTCATTCAGCCACTTCAGGTAAGCCTGCAGGCACCGGGTGGGCGCTGGGCACAGCTCTCCGAGGGCCAAGCCTTCCCTGCCTCCCAGACGACCGGCTGCCCCCTCTACTGCCCTCCCATGTGGAATTGGGCTTTGGTGTTCAGGGTCTGTCTGGAACCTTGAGGACCATACTCTTAAAGCGCTTGGGATCATTGGGGAGCAGCCCTGCTTGCACCTTGTGGGCCATCTTGCCAGGGCTCCTGTCATTGCAGTGTGGGTGCAGGGGTGTGGTGGAGGGTACTGTCACTGTCTAACCGAGACCTCGGCGGAACACGTAAGACAGAGATCACCCTTGTCCTGTTGCCAGCCAGCACAAGGTACCTCCCGGGCACAGATGAAGTTCCCAGAAGACACCTTGGCTCATCTGGGGGCAGATCTTGCCAAGTTAAAGACTTCCTGTCCTGGCTGAGCCTGCCTGCTCTCCGATACCCTCCTTCAGGGGACACTCGCCTCAACCCACCTTATAGGCCTGCCGTACCCCTCCATTGTCAGCGATGTTCTCCCCGAGTGTGCTGAACCCGTTCACCTGCACACAGAGGGAGTGTGTGTGTGGGGTGTCAGCCAGGATCCCGGGCCACTTCTCTCATGCAGCCAGGGTTGGGGAGCGACCCTCAGGGTGTCCAGGGCTGGGAGCAGACCCGAGTGGTCCCGGCAGTACACTCACGTTCTGATCATCAGCCACGTCCCAGCTGTAGTTACCGTACTGGTAGACCATGCATTCCGACTGGTCTCGGAAGTGCTGGGCTGAGAAGTTGCTCCACCAATCCAGCATGTTGCCGTCTTTGTCAAAATTCCGGCCTGGTGGGGGGGGGCAGAGGCAGCTCTCCCTGCCCTCACTGTGTGCTCAGCCTGCATCTGTGGATGCACCCTGAAGCCCTGCTCCCAGCTAACCCCAGGTCTGGAGCTCCTGGCTCAGAGAACAAACAGGTTGAAGGACAGCTGTGTGTCAGGGGACCGCTCAGTTCCTTGGGAGGGAGGGAAGGAGGGCTACAGTCCCATCCATGCCAGCTCCTGAGATTAGGACCACGGTCGCCAGGCCTGGGGGCCCAGAGGCAGTGTGCTTTGTGCACCTGTCCTGGGATGTCAAAACACTCAAGGCCCCAGAGGAGGGGAGTGTGTGGGCCTTGGGAGATGAAGTGTGGGCTGTTGGCAGGGGACCCACTCCAGAGCCCCATGAGAATGCCAGCCTCCCCGGATGAGGGGTGCCGGCTGCCTGGGAGATGACACTAAGCCAAGCTTCATGTCAGACCAGGGGCCGGGAGGGCCACAGGCCCATGATCAGAGTCACTGTGTCATGTTCCAGCCTCTGCAGGGGGAAGGACCAGTTAGATGGTGCTGATCACAGGGTGGGTATCTGCTTCACCCAGGGCCCAGCCCGGCATCTGAACAGCCCTATTACTTAGCCTCCCCACACCTGGACAAGCCCTTTAATACCCCGGGCCTCAGTGTCCCCATCTAGGCCACCAAGAAAGCCCTTCCTGGGGAATACATGAGACTTAGGGGTGAAGTTTGATCCTGGCCTCTGCAGCTCCCTTACCATTGTCGTCAAAGCCGTGGGTGATTTCATGCCCGATCACCATGCCGATGCCCCCAAAGTTCAAAGCCTGTGGCTGCTCCTTGCTGAAGAACGGGGGCTGGAGGATCCCGGCAGGGAACACTGCCCCAGGGGACAAAGAAGCAGCTGTGAGCTGGCACCCTGTATGTGTGCCAGGGGCTGGGCAGATACAGACCAGAACTCAAAGTCCTTGCCGGAGGGAGAGATTCTTAACTCAGA